AATAGCAAGGAAGATCTTTTGTAAAAAAAAACTATTCTGTCAAATCTTGACGACAGTTCATTCGAAGCAATGAAGATCACTAAACCAAATAACAAAGGTATTAGTACGTCTGTTATGATATCAAAATAAAGTTTACTAAATTGATCATCGTTCGATATTCTGGGGTTATTTTTCGTAGTCAAGTTGTTCATTTAGTAAAGATAACAAAATCAAGTGTAGATTGTTGGATTTGACCAGTGTGTAAAATTATAAAAGTAGTGTGTGTTTACATAGTGAACTTGCATATCACATTCGTGTTGATTTTGTCACTTCATGGGGTAGGGAGGTATTGTAACCAGGTCAGATTCTGTTTTAGTCCATCATTCCTATTCAGGTAATTTGGATTCCACTTGATATGAAATGCTTCTGATACTAGACGTTCTTTGTGACTTCTGAAGTTTTTCTGGAATATTTCAATATTGTCAAAATCAATTTTGTGACTTGATTCCATAGCGTCGCGTGTAGACCTATGGCTGATGATTTTTCAAGTTTTTTTCAGTTTAATTGGATTTCTCCGTGGTCGAACAGATGCTCTACGGTGTTCATTTCTTCTGATTTTGATTTCTCGAGGTGTTTGTCCGATGTATATCGCATCACATTCCAAGCATTTCATTTTATAAACACAATTAGATAGAGAATCTTTGGGGATTTGGTCTTTTATATGGACAAGGTTGTTTCGTAATGTGTCCGATGTTTTAAAGAAAACTTTAATGTCGAGCTGATTGAGTACTCTTCTGATATCATCTGACGTCTCCACTCTATATGGAATGACAACTGTTGAGTTCCATGTTTTCGGCCATACTTAAATGTCAGTGTTGATTTTTGTTGATGAATTTCTTTGGGTAGTTGTTTTGCTTGGGAGTTTCAGTAATGTTTGATATTTCTTCTTCGTTTTCTTTCTCATCCGTTATCAGGGAGTGTGCTCGTCTAAGAAGACTTGAAACAACTGAAATCTTTGCGCTGATGGGTCGTGATGATTTGAAGTCCTAATATTTATTGGAGTGGGTTTTCTTCCTGAATATGGATATACTAAAGTGTCCGGCAGTAGAAACAATATCGTTTTGTTTTTCATTCATTGGAAGATACAAAAACCTTTATTATAATGAATATCATATACCCATTGCCCAAATTTTTTCAAACTTTTAAAAGTGAACTTGGTTTGGACATATATAAGTTATTATTGTTATGATTACTCTTAACCTACCGTGGTAATCCTTATTTGATTGGACTACCAAACGTTGTGTTAATCATTCTAAAATCTTTTTTGTCACTTTGTTTAATTTAATTGCCCTTAATTTTTTCATATATATATCGACTTAACAAGTAAATGTGTGTGAGGGATCAGATTATTCGAAATGTATGGTGCAAATACATCACATCACATTTTTCAGATAATCTCCGTCTTCTAATAACACTATCGAAATTTATAAAAGAGACTAATAGTTTTAAATTTTTCAAAAGATGATTAAGTTGCTATATAGAAGCTGAGATTTTGTAAATTCTGGTATAGTAATACTACTTTGATAATGCTATTAGCAGCAACATTAAATAGAGAAACGTCAGTAAAGAGAACAACATCGTTTTGTTTTTCATTCATTGGGAAATACAAAATGATTCGTAAGTCCAGGAATGTATCAAACTACGTTAGACAGATTATTTTCGACATTATTAGATTCTATCGTTTACAATAAAGACAGTTTTATGAAATTACACTTCCGCGTTAACTGAAGATACCCGCTAGACGACAGTCAAGCAAAATACAGAGATGTGGTCCACAGGCTTAAGCACTCGATCGATATTCAGTTAAACTGGTTCCAGATCTCCGATCCTGCTATTACAAAACTTCACAACTTTGGCACCTGGATAACATCATCTGCCCCACTCACACAACAATTATTGTGGGGGTGGGAGGCAACTTTTATTTAAATGAATCAATAGTTGTTGTTCCGACGGACAGTTCCACTGGTTCGTAATTCGATGCGAGTAACGGACTTCTAAAAAATGATACTATTCCACTATGTTTCTCAAACTTTCCGGTGATATTCTCGACAGACGTCAATTCCACAGGGATAGAATAGACAGGATAAATTGGCATATAAATCTCTCTGTAAAAAATACCGAATGTTAAAATGAGATCACTCTCAACTGTCATTAGAAATGAGTTGAAATAATTGTAGCAACCCAACGCCAACCTGTCCATATACAAGAAGTTCAAAAGACTCTTAATCAGTTTTGTCGCCACTCCTTCAAGCCACTTTTAATGTATCTGTCTGGATTCATCACAGAACTTGGCACCAAAGTGCACCAGTTCGAGTTGCCACGTTCCAAATACCACACAAAGGTAGACAAGAAGATGAGTGAAGAGAATCAATAGAGTTTCGACAAGTATAAGAGTGAAACACAATGAGTAATGGTAGAAAAGAATATGAAAGATTACAGAGACTGAGTACATCCGCGCAATTGACAACGATCTTGAGCCATGTCACCTATTGTCTCCAGCCACCATTGATTCTTAGAGTCCCGAGGGCCCCAACCAACCCGGAAGTCTGCATCTCCCTCCCTACCTGACTCAGTTTAACTGTCAACGATTTCATGGATTGATGCCATGAATTTTTTATTTGGCCACCACTTACTCTTTTCCAGCCTGCACCTATATCAGCTAGTAATGCCCGTCCGTCGGGGGAGGCGATGGTTAGGCATGCGCAGCACGTCACCTAGCCATCTCAATCTATGTAACTTTATAGCCTCGTCGATTGATTTTCACTCTTTGCCCAACACTCTACGCCTAACGTCAACATTACTTACCTTATTATACCACCTCCTAACATGAGAAAGAGATCGTAGACATCTATGGTCGAAAACAGTCAACCTTTTCATGTCTTCAACTCGTATTGGCCATGTTTCAGAGCCATAGGGAAGGACGGAGCGAACTGCTGAGCAGTAGAACACACGTCCCTTGTTTGATAGCCAGATGTCACGCCTACGCCAGAGATGGTGTAAGTTAGCGAAAGCAGCTTGAGCTTTTTGGATCCGTGCTGAGATTTCGTCAACAATCTGTCCGTTGGTACTGATACAACATGTTCTACCACTTCACTCCCTATCACTAAGCTAGGAGTTGACGTAGTCCAGTCCTTTAGCAGCATCTTACATTTTACGGGCGCGAATTTTAATGTGTCTACTTCACATTGAAATATATTCTCGCTTCCTAAATTCCAATATTCCTCCAAATGCGGTTGGACATATAATAAACGCAACATAACCGCATCAAAACTTTAAAAAGAAACCTTGTAGATATCTAAAACCCTTTGCATACACTGCTACTCCACTACGGTCAACTCAGATTTCCTAGTCATGGTTTACAAACACACACTCCTAAATCTTTAAACCCGGTAAGCCATCAGTACATTCATTTTACGCATGTTGTTATGAGTAACATGCGCATCTCTTAATGAAACACGATCATATTGCAGTTTTTTTCTGGGAAAATTTCACCGCATGCTCTCTAACCTCCCCTCCCCAACCCCAACCTCAACACCTACAGTAAGTACATCTTGAGTACACAATGGCACCAGTCAATGAAATCCACAACAGTTAGTCTAAGCCAGTCACGTAGGAAGGTGTAGACTTCCTGACTGGTTGGGGTCCTCGGGACGGTAAAAACCAATGGTTAAAAACAATTGGTGACATGGCTCAAAATCGTTGTTCTCAATGGCTGGCGCAGATGCATCCACTCCTTGTGACTTATGATTTCCAATTAAACTGTTTTGTTCTTCGTCATTACTATTCCTTTGTCTCACACCTCTGTTTACTGTCTATATTATTATGCATTTCTCCTACTTTCTTCTCTTGCTTTGTGTGTTACAAAGAGGGAGTGTGGCGACTCGAACTGCCGCACATATGTCCAAAGTTCTATGTCGAAAACCGACCGACCGACACAATGTTTATCCAACAATGAACTCAATTAGACGGAGAAATAAAAAAAGACATTAGTGAAAAAATCAAAATTTTATATATATATATACATACACACACAATTAGTCGATCTATCAAAATGCAAAAAAAATAAATAAATAAATAAACAATAGGGGGAGGGGGGCAGGGTAGAAGTACATTTGTTAAAAGACCCCTAGAGAGAAGAAAAATCAAAGTGGCTTACACAAACACACACATGCATATACTAAATAATGTCAGAGAAATAGTCAGTTGCGTAATACAATACACACAATCGGACAGAAACAAAGAGAAGGATTCAATTGGGCGGGGAAAAATGCTATTTAAACAAAATATATTTATATATATGTGTTCAATGTCCAATATAGTAGTAGACAAAAGCATTGATTATGAGACAATAAGTAAACATACACGATAGGCAATATATATATATAAATATGTCGTACAAATAAGGACGAAAAATCTATAATTTATGACAAGAAAGTTCACATGTACTCTGACTGAAAGATAATAAATAGTATATATATATATATATATAACTTAGCAAAAAAAAGAAAGAAAATGAACTAAATGAATGAGAATGCTTAATCAAAAGAATTTTTATTTGCACTTTTAATTGTATTGCAATTAATTAATTAATTAGTAATATACATAAATGACAATCAAATGAAAAAAATGGTGGAAACAGCGATTAATGCAATGAAACAGTGATACAGCGGGCGGGCGGGCGGGATCGAAGGCAGGGTGAGATAGCGCGGGTTTCGAGGTTGGAAAATGATACAATATATATAATCACCATATATGTATAGGGAGACGGTTGAATTGATGAATCAGTGCAATGACAGTTAGTGATCATGATCTCTTAATAATAATAATAATAATAACGTCGATAATAATGACGACGACACTCTAGTCTTAGCAAAAAAATAATAAATAACATGATTTAAGTTGTGAATAGACGAGAAAATGCTTCACAGTCAGAAGGTCAGTCTGTGAGTTGAGTCAATTAATCAGTCAGTCAGTGAGTCAATAGCCTCCAACACTACGATCATGATTAGACAGTAATAATTTCTGATGCTTATCACTGCCGTCACCATTGTCAGTCCCGGTCCCAGTTGCAGTCGCAGTCGCAGTGACAGAACCATCTGCAACTTCTCCTCCTCCTGCTGCTGACTTTATAAAATATGACTTTAAAAAATAAGCTATCAAGATAATAAAGGCAATTAGATGAGGTATAAAGTAGAATAGGCTTAAAAATTTTACAGATGCATAGAAATCTAGCAAATGAAATGGTGCTTGTCCATAATTAATTATGAAATTAGTAATAATCATTGTAAAAATATCATAGAAATGTATAGATAGAGGTGTTTTACGAAAATACACACGACAATGTCGACGCCAAATACGCGAAACTGTTGTGAATAGAGCGAATGACAAAAACATTATGTAATAACCAGGATAAAACCCGTGCCAAAAAGCACTGATTATAAATACAAGGATTGTACGATAAGCAGTTGGAAGACGATCGTAGAATGTTTCACGTAGCCAACGTGTAGTCGATATATTCCAGGCATCGACAACATCTTTTAAACCGACACCAGATTCAACTTGAATAAAGTTAAAATTACGCACATGATGATTCAATGTTCTACCGGTACGTGGACATTGGCCAGTATATCCAACACCAATAGCCACTCCATTGACTTCAGCTAATCCCCAGGCAAAATAGTATTTTTGTCGAATTAGAAATAACGAAATTGTCACGTAGAAAATTCGATGGAGGAGTGAATAATTCTAAATAACATAGAAAAATATAAGCAACAATAACAACAACAACAAAAATGGGTAAAAAGAATGCAGATCGCTAGAGAATTATTCTGGAAAATTAGTCCTGTGCTCACTAGTAACTAAGTGCAAGATAGAGTTGCCCTGATATTGTAGTATAGAAGCTATGACGAGAGGGACAAATACCCACCGTTGGAGATTAGCTGACAGTGTAACAACAGAAGACAAGGGCCAGGCAACAGATCGTTTACTAAGGAAAATCAACACATATTTATAGATTTTAATGTACATTATTGTAGATTATTGTTAGTAGAAAATACAGTCTTTTGATTGGTTGTTTCTCACAGAAAGTTAACTTTGCATCTCTTTGTGGCTGTGTCAGATCATCCATATGCTAACTGTATCCGCCTACGCAAAGCCTTTGTTCTCATTTTCTCACCATCAATATTGGGGACATAAACATTGACGTCAATTACTGTCTACCAACTTTGGCTAGCAGCCAGCTCTCACCACAACAGTAGTTTTACAAACATCGCGAACAGGTAGAATTTATATTTCATAGTCATTCTAGAGGCTGACTACTGGTCAGTGGCCCTGCTCGCCTTGTAGCTTCGCTTACATTCCCAAGTGTAGTTAGTCATGGATGCGTGTTGATGAAGAGTCCCAGAATACGATGACACAGTTATCGAGTACTCTCACAGGTTTTCAATAGTTCTCTAACTGATGATATCACATCTCGTTATCGTATTTGTAACGCTTAGAAGTTTAATTTGATTTATGAAATCCCAACAGAAAACTACAAACTGATGGGTGTCAAGTGTCAAGTCAAGATTAGGAACACAGAATCTTACACAAACCAAAAAATGTGTCAAAATCGCCTGACTGAAAAGTTTACAATAATGACTGTTCGTTGCGGAAATTTCTTTTTAAATACAAAGGTGAATAAAGACGACATTAGAAATTACTACTTTGACAGCTATGCGTAACAAGTTGTAACACAGGATCTTATACAACCGCTTAAGCTTTTATAGTGAAGAAGTGAACAAGGAAGTGCTAAATACACTGTGGGAAAATTTTCCAAACAACCAAATCATCGCATACTGCAACGCAAAAGACAATATAATGAGGATGGGGAAAAACAAACTTAATGATGATAAGACGAAGATATGCTCTGAGTTTACGTATACAGTGTATACGTAATTGTTTACAAGTCACTGGATCGCAGTCTTTTAGGTGGAGACCCAGTAAAATAACCACCAAAAACTGATAGACACAAAATAAATGAATATAAGTTTTAGTATTTGTTGCACGAGAGTTGGCCACCGTTGTCCACCGGCCAAGTCGATAACACATTGGTGGGTACTGGTGTTCGAGTCTCATCGGGAACACCATCACTCTCATTGGGGGGGGGGGGGATTCAGACACATCCAACTTACGTATCGCAAATAGGATGAAACGTGCATTCTACATTTTACTGCTAGACGCCAACAAGACGTGTAACTTCAAGTTTCATGATAACTTTTTATCACTTTCTGGTGCACTAGTGCTTTTTTCCCTGTGTTATACTAGTGACTCTAGGCTGCTATGAGATATGCCTCAGCACTGAGGTTGGTATGAATCTAACTACAGTTTAATTCTTCAATTTTGATCGAAATATCCGGCAACAGTTGTCATGTCATGCCCCTACTACTGTTAATCACCACCATTCACCAGATCATTTGAAGTTAATCGTCAGACATCGTCAAAGCGTCCGTACTACGAGCCAACATGTCATCAACTGAGGTCGAACAATGCGGTCTAATCAACCAACGGGAGGAAATCAAAAATTGAATTTAAAAACAAATAATAACCATTGCACAAAAGGTGGCTCGCAACGCCCATGTGGTCTAGTGGATAACACTTTGGGTACTTTTCAATGATGGGTACTGGATTCCAGTTTAATTAATTGGGAAGATCATCGCTCACTAGGAAATGCAGATATGCATGCGATCGACGAGTCCCAGATGGGACGAAATGTGCGCATCCTATGTTCCAGGGCTGCTGCTGCTGCTAGTCACCATTTTACTGAACTACTTCTAAGACGGAGGAATATCAAATCTGTTGCACCTAGAGTTTTTTTTAACAATGACCTACACACAACAAGTCACCAGAATTGTGCTTATTCCCCCTTGTGAAGTATATGTGAGCAGAACGGATCTTATTTATTTTTATTTATTTTTGATTACAGCTTGATTCCACACAGTATTTTTTTGGTACGTACAGGTAAGGAACTTTCAGCATGTGATATCGGTAGCCCAAATTTTGCAGGCCGACCATAGATATCAGGTGTGCGTCGGCAGGGGATCGAACCCCGGACCATGTGCATGGTCGGCGAGAGTCCTAACCACTGTGCCACCGATGCACACATTTTTAGGGTAGGCCGCTAACGCTGCTACATCCCTGAAGTAGGGGACACAGCAGGACAGCCTGTACTCCACAAAAAATGGTCTAGAACTTAGCTAGGGACCGGTAATCAAACCGATCTGCTATTTCCCTTACTCATTAGTTTAAGGCACTTAGTTATAGTCCAGTCCCTGGAACAGATTTTTCATATACCTAGCTAATAAGCTACACACTTATTGTATGATTGCTGTTGATACTATCTAATTGCTCATGACGGAAGTAGGGGGTGGAGTGGGATTCGACCTCGGGACACATTTGACCTGTTCCACAACTAATGAATCACATCTATCTGTTGAGTGATCCATAATAAACTGTGCAAAAAGACAACAACAGTCTAGACCATTTCAGACTCCTACTAACCTTCACAACCTGGACAATAAATTTTAAAAAAACAACAAAAACGAAACGAAAGTTAACTAGAACTTACTCCAAATGCTTCAGTTAGAACAAAATCGAAAGGAAAGTATGGACACAGGTAGGCAGCTGACAGGCCTGAAGCTAATGTACGCAGGCACAGAGTCACTAGATAATACATATTAATTGAAGGCAATTTTCCAGTACTATACCCTTTAAGATATTCCATATATTCAGAGAAAAAGATGAAAGGTCCAACACAGACACCATGAAAATATAGCATATAGGCAAAAAATATTATTGGATCAGGTGTTTTGTCAACCGCGTGCATTCTATGACTTGTAGGCATTTGCTGTTGTTGTTGCTGTTGCTGTTGTACTGTTGTGAATGGCTTTTTTTCATTCAATAGTTTACAATGACTGGGTGTATGATGATAATGATGCATAGGATTGAAATCGGTATTTGATGAAGGCGTTACTGTATCTAGTGTAGTGAATGTGTTTCGTCTACGATTGGACGATGACAGTGATTGATCAATAACTGGTGATGGTGAGGGTGGGGGTGATGAAGAATCATTAGAAGAATTATTTTGTTGATATTTTACAGGATGAGTAGTAGAAGTAGTATTAGTAGTATGCTTTTCATGTGATATTATTGCACCATCGACAAGATTAAAGGCTAGACTAGATAGACGTTGAGTTTGTACCATAACAGGTCCAGATATATCTAGTGTATACCCACCATAATCATATTGTAGACGACAGATATGCACTAAGGTCATATAGAATAATGACCATACTGTTACTAATACAGCCATAAATCGATTATGCGGTAAACACACCATGAATAGATAGGCAATAAATGATTGTAATAGTAATACTCTTAATTGACTTCCAAAACAAAATGATAATAATAATAGGCCAAATATAGTTTCAATAAGTGCACGTAATCGTGGTGAACACTTTTGAGGTGAAAGATACTGTCGCATTAATTGACCCAGTGCAAAACTCACTACACCACTAACAACATAATTGATTTGATCCAATGGGACATGCATAAATTCAGCTAAAGGTGAAAATGTCTGTGAAGTTTTGTAGAAACCACCACGAATTGGTTTACCACCGTCTAATGGTGTATCCAAACCCATAAAAACTTCAACAAAATATGCCCAGGTGAAGAATTTCATCTTTTGTTGATTTGAGATGTGCTACTACGGATGTCGATCAAGCATAATAACAATAATAGTGGTAGTAGTAGTAGTAATAATAATAATAATCAACCATTGAAAGCTAAAACAAATCAAAAATTATTTTTTTTATACACAAATATATATGTGAGAGAGTAAAGAATGATTTAAAAATCAGAAAAAAATAAACAATCATAAAACAAACAGAACAAACAGCCTATTTCATAACAACACCACACAGTAACTAACAGATACCGACTATCGACCAAAGGGCGTGTGTACTACTCAACAGTCCACTCCGTCCTCCTTTATGGATGTGAGACCTGGCCATTGAGAGCAGAAGACATAATAAGATTAGCTGTCTTCGATCATAGGTGTCTGCGTTCTATATCCCGTGTGAACTGGTATAATAAGGTGAGCAATATTGAGGTTAGGCAACGGTCGAGTGCTAGGTAAGGAGGGGAAATCAATAGACGAGGCTATGAAGCTACATCGACTGAGATGGTTAGGGACATGCGTTACGTATGCCTAGTCATCGCCTTCCTCGATAGTGGACAATGTTAGCTGATATAGGGTCTGGCTGGAAAAGAGCTAGCGGCGGTCAAGCCAAAACATGGCACCAGTCAATGAAATCCACACCAGTTAGTCTAAGCCACGTAGGAAGGTGTAGACTTCCCGGTTGAGGTCCTCGGGACGGTAAAAACCAATGATTGACTGAGTGACTGCTTTCAACGTAGAACTTTGCACATATGTGCGGCAGTTCAAGTCGCCACACTCCCTCCTTGTAGCACACAAAGGAAAAGAAGAAAGTAGGAGAAATGCGTAATATAGACAGTAAACAGAGGTGTGAGACAAAGGAATAGTAATAACGAAGAACAAAACAGTTTAATTGGAAATCATAAGTCACAAGGAGTGGATGCATCTGAAAAACCAATGATTGGAAACAATTGGTGACATGGCTCAAAATCGTTCTCAGTGGCAGGCGCAGATGCATCCACGCCTTGTGACTTATGATTTCCAATGAAACTGTTTTGTTCGTCGTTATTACTATAACTTTGTCTCACACTTCTGTTAACTGTCTCTAATATGCATTTCTCCTTTCTTCTCTTGCTTTGTGTGCTACAAGGAGTGGAGTGTGGCGACTTGAACTGCCGCACATATGTGCAAAGTTCTATGTCGAAAACCGACCGACCATCCTGAGTGAAATACATGACTGTAAGCTTTGGAGTTTACCTAGCAGTGATGTTGTTTGCCTCAAGATGAACCTTCCCTCGTTTCTAGGCAACATTTAGGCGTAAATCAGTTGGATAATTCAACTTGGACACCTTTTGTGTGGCTAGAGAGCATTGTACCGATGCGCATGTGTCCAACAGATCTAAATATTAGGTAACTAAACTAATCATGAGTTGTAAAAGGTTAGGCGTCTGAGAACAAATCCCCGTAGACAATATGTCAATATAGATAAATGTATCACTACTAACTGGGTTACTTAAAATCCCCCACCCACCCACCCACCCCAGATGAACTTACACAGAAAAGAAGATTGGAACACGAGGGAGATTTGAGATTAGTATATTTTGTCTTCAAAATTCAACCTTTTTATTCTTATTAACTAAACTATTCACATGAGCATGATTTGCATTAAAAAAAAAGTCACATTACGTGACAATATGCGACAGAGTAGTGGCTACATGTCATGCATGTTTTCAGCTTAACACAAGTCGGTATCTAATAGTATGTAAAAGATGTAACAGTCACTGCTTGTCATGTGATCATTTAATGTGGACGTCATTACAAACTAATCAACTCATCTACAAACCGTTCAGCATACAGATGCTTAAGTGAACATTTAGACACGTACCTACCCCGTATACAGCTATGACGTGCAGGGCTATTTAAACACAAGATGTCACAATTTAATTTTACAGAATAACAAATGCTTGAAACGTTATACATTTCAATTCGAAATCTTATGAAAGAGTGCTGAAACCAATGCCAGCCGGTTAAAATTTTATTTCGATAAAGTCACACAGTGTTATACAGTAATATTTACTGGTGATGACGTTTCGAACACAATTTATTGCTGGTCATAATCATATCAAGGTATTACTCACATAGCTCTCTTGCTTCGTTTATGTACATGAGTAAAAATTGATTAGACATTTGAATAATATCAATATAAAACTTGCGTGAAACAGAAAGGAAAATTAGGAATCAATATTAGTGTTATCAATAAAATACAATAGGATGGGAAATAAGTTGCTCATTGAGAAAATTAGTTTAGGAATTCAGTCAGGCCTCAAATCTACTGTCTTTAAATTCCAGGGCAAAATATATAGACAAATAGAGAAGGTGTAACAGTGGTGTCATCAATATCCCTTATCGTAGTAGATATCTTTATGGACAGCTGGGAAAATATTGCTCATAATATATATTTAATCCTACTCCACGCAGATAAGTAATTTAGAAAAAAAGTTCAGCAATCTTACTGCATGCATTAACACACAATGGGTTGAGAGAGAGGATTGAAATTCTAAAAAGTAATATAGGTAGATGGAGACAGAGAGAGAGAGAGGGAGGTTGATTACTGAATCTTTGTTCATAGAATCTGTACCCAACGCGTGCAATAGAAGTGATTCCATGCAAATATCAGAGATATGGAAGATATTGTTACCAGTCAAATCGAAGGATAATAAATAGTCTTAAAATGTATTTCAATTCACATTATAACATTCTAACAAGTTACTTATTTTACTATAAAAACAACCTTATTTCCCATCCTATTGTATTTTATTGATAACACTAATATTGGTTCCGAATGTACTTTATCTTATATTGATATTATTCAAATGTCTAATCAATTTTTACTCATGTACATAAACGAAGCAAGAGAGCTATGTGAGTAGTACCTTGATATGATTATGACCAGTAATAAATTGTGCTCGAAACGTCATCACCAGTAAATATTACTGTATAACACTGTGTGACTTTATCAAAAATAAAATTTTATCTATAACGGAATTATCCTTATGCCATTAGAAGGCTCTTCATTATCTTTTCTATGTGAGACACAATATTGTACATCTATATGACAATGACAATGACGAGGATATCAAAGCAAGACAAGCTTTCACTACTCTCAAGTCTGTGTGGAGGTCAACAACACTCAGCATCAAAAATAAGATCCGGATTTTCAACTCCAATGTGAAGTCAGTGCTACTATACGGATGGATCAGAGACTTGCACTGCGCGTCATAAAGAGCATCTCAAACAAACTACAGACCTTCATTAACAGTTGTCTTCGCTCAATACTCAAGATCAGATGGCTGGCCAGAAAAGATCAGCAGATCAGTGATCTCTGGGAGCGAACCAACCAGGAACCGATTGTGAAACAAATAGGCAGGAATAAATGGAGATGGATTGGCCATACTCTGAGGAAACAATGCATCAAGTGACATCACTAGACAAGCTGTCGAGTGGAACCCGAAAGGGAGGCGGCGGCGAGTTGGTCGCCAGTGCGTGGGTGGATGACTTGGAGGAGGTCATGTGAAGAGGAGATGAAAACGTGTGGGCAGACATGGAGCCAGGTGAAGACTCTAGCAGAGAACCGAACGCAATGGAGACGCACGGTTGAAGCTCTATGTTCCTCTAGGAATTAAAGGATACAATAATAATATATAATGTGACAATGAAATATCAAATTATTATTATCCATTCCTTGAGTCCCTAGTGATGCTGTACATATCCATTCCACTGGCCACTATGTCATCACTTTCAGCTGGCTTCACATCTACCCAAAGGCATTCCAATTAGACTTCATGTGATCTTCTCCATGTCATCCTCGAGAACCCAACACTCATCACTTCCCATTCAGTTTTCACTCAAGGGTTGGAAACATGCGGTATTTCGTAAGAAGGACAGCTTAAATCAGAACATCTTATATTTCCTTAATCATCTGGTCAAATACCTTTTCCTTTCAAGAGACAACCTTTGGTTTCAGAGAACGACTATGGTAAAATAAGTTTTTTTCCTTGGGCTTTTATAAATAAGCATTATTTAACATCTAGAAATAATGATGAGGATACTGAGAGCTTGTTGTGAACTTTACACTACAGCTAAGTAGCTACATTTATTACGTGACAGTTAGTGATACCAATTGATCGCCCAAACCTCACAGTAGGTGGAGAGATGTATGAACTTGTTACTCAATAATGGTTGAGAGTTGAAACGCCTAGACCGATGAGCCAATAGCTTCAAATCAGAGAGTTAAACTGAGTCGACGGGGGAAAGGCAGGTTTTCTTGACGTTGAGAATATACTTTGCCTAAGATTAACGAAAACAGGCCTTTTGGAAGAAAACAAAGTCTTACATTGTTTGACAGAACATATAGTGGATAAGTTTTGCAACACTAATAAGGTTGCACTGCACTTTATCAGACAATTGATCTAGTTGGCGAAAACTCTGGAATTTCGAGTAATTGATTCATGCTTTATCAGTGAAATGTGTGTACGAGACCAAAATGTGTGGTTATTTGTTTGACAAACAGCTAGTTATAGTATGGTGAGTGTTTACGAGATGAATACACACGAATAGAATTAAGAAAATGTAGAAGTTGGCAGAAAATTGAATCAGTAGCCAGTAAAGCACATTGAAGTGGCTACAGAGTCCCTTTGGGAAAAAAACCAAGCAACGCTAACCGTCTTTCACAACTTCTACAGACAGTTACTAGTTGCTGTCAACAACGATCTCGAAACATAATCAGTAAGATTGTCTTACTTGATGAAAGAAAAGAAAATTGGGGTAGGTGATCTCCATCAGTAAATCTTATTAAACCGACGGAGCTCAAAACCGGTGGTAAGAGAAGACATCTGCAAAATTGCAAAAGTCTTCTCTAAATTAAGAGACAACACAGCAGTAGGATCTGATATTTTGAATAGAAAAGTGCTTGAGAGTTATGACGAGTATCTGTTGAATGGACACTGTGGGAGTCCAAAATAGTCGCCAGACTAATGTACATTGTTGATCAACCTATATGTATGGAAAAATATGGCTTTTCCACAAGGAGATAAACTTGAAAAAAATATCTGATA